AGAAATCTACAACTGGAGGCAATACTATCTGACCCAATTTATCCACAAGGAAATATACAAATGACTAAAAAAAAACAACAGTTCTATTGACTAATAGTAGCACTAAAAGCTGTTCTTTATCCTTACAACTCCTTCACTATCTTGACATTGATTTTCAAAGGACTGACTAAAAAAAAAAAAATTAAGTTTCCATTGTGAGGGAATCTTATTCCATTCAATTTAATGTTCTAAAGATAAGAGTTAGCATAAAAATGCTATACAGTTTTTGTTTGTTAATCAAATATTGATTACTTGGATATTTTTCAGTTGTATAGGCAAATATTTTTTCTCCCTGTACATAATATATCCCATGTTTTTATTATATTCTGCTCAATTTTTAGATTAATAGTAATAATAGAAATTATTTTAAATCCTGTATGTCCTGTACTCTTTAATATTATTGTATATGCCATTTGTGCTATTTTTCACTTTTATTTTGTATTATGGACATGTGACTTTAATCACTTTGACATGTTTACTTCATATCTAAGATTAAATAACATTCCTCTTGATTATTTCTCATTATATAAAATCTATTCATATTTCAATTTCATGTCCTGTTACTATTATATCAAATTCTGGAAAAGCAGGCTGCTGTTATATAATACCTATAAATTCATAAAAGGATTAAATTGAAGCACTGGACATAATAATTGAAGAAGTTATTAATGCATGTCTTTTTGATATGAAATTGAATTTCTTCTCTGTCCCATAATTTTTGAGGTTGTAGAAGATACAGGATGTCCCTAAAGTCTGGACATCCTAGGCAAAAATGCATATTTTCAAGAAATTAAATTTTCAACAACATTTTATTGAATTGGAATGTTTAAATAATAAAATATAAGTTTAAATAAACACTAGTGATGACTTAAAGAAAAATCTGCAATGTGATGTTAGTTGTATTTGATTAAGTGTATTATCCTACTACAGAGCTAAATTGGGAATGTTGGGTTCAATAATTGATTTTTGCCTTTTATCCAAGGCACTGTAAAAATTCAAAACATTGGACATTAAAAAAAAAAAGTACTTTTCTATTATCAACAACCATTTTTTTTCTATCTGTTTAAGTCAGATTATTTAAAAAAAAAATTAAAACAAAATATTTATTTTTTTCAAAATGCCAGTAAATTAATTATACTCAACATTTTATAATGTTTACAGAAGTTTCAAATAATCTAGCCTAATCCTTTATTTAAAAAGCAAAGTACCAAAAAAACATAGCTAGATACTTAGACTTACATGAACTTTTCTGGCACCACATAATCATGAATTTATTTGCTATTGATAACATGTCTACCATAAAAATAACAATCATAACATTGTAATTAAAAGGTATTGAAACTGTTGGCAATTTATAATCTTGTAGATACAACAGGCTTTCTGTTATTCCTTAAGGCCTTTTCCATAGAGACTCGCTAACAAATGATGGAAAATGTGACACAGAAATCCAAAGGTACATAAAGATAGCAAGATATCTCTTATAAATTAAGCAAAGTATTATAATAAGAAAATATCCTTAAAAAACAGTGATGACTTTGTGTGACATCTAATATGGCTGCTAAAAATACCATAGAACAGTTGAGAAATAAGTCTTAAGGAAAATAGGAACTACAAGGAAACTTAGAATCAGAATAACAGTTGACATTTCTGGGTTTATTATGAGAAAAGGAGGCATAGAGAATTTAAAACTTACAGAACATATAGAAAGCAAGAGAAGTGGGAGAAACAGCAAGTAAACTATTTTATGAGTTTTTGTAAATGGATGGCAGAGCAGCAACAAAAAGTGATGATAGTTAGAAGTTAACAAAGCCTATCTACTCTAAAGCAAAATGAAAGCCAGAGATTCATTAGTAATTTTTAATAACTCTAGCATATCCTAAATGATTGAACTGTTGACTGGTTTTGATTTCTATTTCAAGGCTTCATCCACTGAGCCATTCTCTTGGCTGGGAATATTGACCTGTAAAACTTGATTTCCAGTTGAACATTTTCTCCACTAATCTATTCCTCTAGTCAGAAAGTAACCAAGCCTGTAATTATTGTTCAGACTGTCTTTGAATCCTGCAAGCACTTTAGAAATTACATAAACAAATGCAACCTAATAATAAACATGAATCATTTTGTTTCCTGTTCACTGAACAGGACATTTGCTGATGCTCTAAGCATATAAAACTGAAAATAAACCAAGTTTTATTATGCATATTTGATTGATTTTTTTTTTTTTTTTTTTAACAGAAAAGATTTACTGGTGCAAATGTTTCACTAAGTTTGCTTGCTCTTAGTGCAAGAGGAAATTGAACTGATTTGTTGGAAATCCCGAGATGACATCTCACAATGCAACATTCATAGAATCTATAGCTTATAAATGGGATATAGAGGGTCCCTTCCATTTGTTTAAACAATGCTTTGGCATTAGGCACTACATTTCTTGCTGGATTTAATAAATGAATATTTTGTTTAGGCACTTAAATTTTTCAATAACTTGAAATAACTTTCAAGTTGTAAATTTAGATACTTTATCACAATTTTTTTTTATGTATGAATAAAATAGATGTACCTTACTTACCTGTTATAGTGATGGTTAGTAAGCTGGTTTCATAAGCTATTATTGGTAAGTTCAGCCCTTACTGGGTGCCTTACTATTGTAACCTTGCACATGACTTGTCTAGGTGTAGTAAATATCTTTCATATAAATGTGTATAGAAAAGGGGTGGTGGAATAGCAAAAACCAAACACTTTTCTGTAACCAAAACTTTATTTAAATATGTACTTGTACCACTTAATCTGTAGATCCATGGTAATCAAGTGTACCCTATAACGGTTGACATCCTCATGAAGGATTGAACACCACTGCTGTATTTCTTGTATAGGTTTCCTCTGGTAGGATAGCATTCCTGATGGTTACACTCTGTAAAATTTTCTTTTGAAAACATTGTATCTTAAAATAGAACTGAATTCTACTGTGGGACCATGGTAACTCTTTTCTCCAGGATCCAGGGCTTGGATGGAAACTACAGATGTGAGAGAAAACTCCAAGAAAAATACTAACAGCATTGTCAAACTCGATTATAGGTTGACTATGATGATATATAGATGAGTATGCAACATTAGTTAGCTTGTGGGGTATTACCTTTGATATGTCCCAGAAAGGGATATAGTTGAATGAAGTAGCTAAGTGGTTTTGGCTATTATAACCAAGTAGAATACAGTAGCAGTAATTGACTGATATGCGTCATAGTTGCAGGTAAGTGTAGATCAATGGCGTAGTCCAATGGTTGTCGTTATTCACTTAGCTCTCAGACTAAGGCTCTGACTCTTCTACACATCTGTTGGTATTTATGACGGACACCAGCCAATCATATTCCCGTGAGGGGGAAACACAGGTGTACGCATATTCCATTATATCAACCTTCTACTTGATTGATGGATAATCTGAGGCAGTGATATTACTTTTTGATGCTATACTTCAAATAGTAGTCTTAAGTTCCTTCACTTTTCTGTAGGTCTTGTGCGTTCATTAGAAGCTTAGCAGCAATGGCATGAAATTGACTGCATTGGAGATTTCTTATTTTTATTAAGAATCCACCTGTTTCTATCTTCAATGGGTCATCAGAAACAATCATCCAACTAATGACTCGGACCAGACTGAAATGTAGGTCACCACTCTAGAAATGTAATTTTTGAAGAATGGGATTAACCCAGATAAAACAGTCCAACCTGGGTAAATTTTGATATCCACAAACCTGTCATCAATTCATCTTTTTGCAGGTGTGTAAGTCTAGGAACCTAAGTTTTACTGCTTTTTTGTTAAGTTGTCCCAGGTTCCAATCTTCTTGGGGCCCTTATTCATTTTCTAGATTTAAATCTATATTTTTAATTTGTGTTCTCATTATATCAAATATCATTCACTCATCTTCCCAAAGTTTTTCTGTCTCCCATTCTCAACTAGATCTTACCCCACATGCACTAATATCAATCTAGTGAATTTGCCCTATTATATCCTTATACCTTATATATTCTCAAGTGATAATGACACTTGCTTATATGTATTGCATTTTCCAAGGGCATTTTGGGAATAACTGCTTGTTGCAGTTCTAACTATGCTAAATCTCTGGATTTTGGTGATCTTATCTACCAATTAACAATGTCAATATAATGAACCTGGTATAATAATGTTTAATGCATCTGGTAGGACAGAAAGTATCTTTGTTCCTTACAGTTATTTCTTGCTGTTATTCTTTATATTTATCAACGTTTTGTCATTTTTTTCAGTTTAATACTTTTTCTTGAATTTTTTCTCTTTTCTGTATTATCTTTCTGCTCATAATTTTATTTCTTGCAAATCTTTAAGTATGAAGCTACTCAACATGTAAAAAAAAAAATCTTACTGAAACACTAATATTTTTCAAGCTTTATTTGGGGGAGTGGGGGGGTTGCTTCTCATGATAGCTTATGATTTTTATTCCACAATCACAAAATATATTTTACTTTTTCATTAAAATGAAGTTAACTTATTCTGTTATAATCTTTTCAATTGTTTTACCTCTTTGTTTTTAGGTTTATGCAGTTTTTAGTAAGCAGACTAAATGAAATGAATTTGACTAATTACTATTTTGAAAACAAATTATCATGTGGCTAAAAACATTTTTTTGTTATAGTGACAAGATTTATTGAAGTCAATGAATTTCATGTGACATTTGAAAAGAGATGACTTGCATTTTACTGATTTAATTTAATCTTTATAGTCTGATCTTAAACATTTTTTTGTCTTGGTAACTTAACCCTTACTGTTTAATATGAAACCAAGTGTACATAGCATTTTATAGTTTAGGATTTAAGACACTGAGAAAAACCTGAAATGTTAATTTGATAATAAATTCTAAAAAAAAAAAGTTTAATCTTATAATACTTATAAAACTTATTTTATTTCAGATTCTATATTTCTGAATTAAGTGACCACAATGGCTTTATATCCATCCTTGGAAGATATGAAAGTGGACCAGATGGTTAAGGTGAGTAGAGTGGTTGCTTCTTGGATAACACTTTCTCATGAATTTTTACATGAAAACCTAGGCCCCAAAGATTTTTTTTTTTATTAAAGATAAAATTGTGATATTCAGTAAACGTTGTTATTTTTTGTTTTTTTTTTTATTAATCACTTTAATATAATTTTGAAGTTAACAAAAAAGCCATTTACTTTAATTATTGATATTAATTCTAGTTATCTATATTTACCACAAAGTCTCAAGTTACACATTAACTTAATTCTAGTTCTAATGCTTATGTTAGATTAGCTTAAGTGTTAAATGTTTAAACTATTTTTTATGCATAGAAAATGACTGAGTATTAGAAAATACAGATGTATTAAGATTGTTTTTTGTATTTTACAAAATATAATTGTCCTATTTAATTTTTCATTGTGCCAAATTATAATTAAACTTTATAAAAAAAAAATAAAAAAAACACATACCTGTATATGGAAATTGTGTGTGTATAATATATATATATGTGTGTGTGTGTGTGTGTATATTTTGGCATTTCATTAAGACGGTTTTCATTTAAATAATTTAGACATGTTCTATCTACTTATTCTCAATAGTATCCTTTCATATTTGCAGATAAGCTTTTTTTGTGTAGTTATTAAGATGTGTACTGGATTCCACATATAAAAATGGTAATTTTCAGATCACTACAACAATGTCCTTCACAACCATTAACACTAAATGCTGATTCTATAATTAACAATACCCTGATGATGACATTATGCTATGTTGAAAGTACTCAGAAATAAATACAATATGAGATGACATGGTGATTTCCTCTTGTCTTTTAATAACTGCACAAAAAAAGCTTATCTGCAAATATGAAAGGATCCTATCAAGAATAAGTAGAACATGTCTAAATTATTTAACAAAACCTGTCTTAAGTGTGTGTGTGTGTGTGTGTAGTTCAGTACTATCCAATTTCAGGCATCCGCAGGGTGTTTTGGAACATATCCTTGTGCACTGGAGGATTTGTATTTGCAAATTCAATAAATATTTTGCATCACTGATGGATTTTTTTTATTATCGATAACTGTTCTAAAGTTAAAGAAATAGCAGCTGTGTGTGTGTGTGTTTATCTTCAAATTTTGCTGTTTTGTCTATATTTTCTTTTCCAATACAAGATTGCTGCAAACACTCTAAATTAATAGTGTTTGCTATTTCATAATTATCATGCCAAAAATAGACTTTTTATTGACTTGTTGTATAATACCAAGTAGCAGTTTTAATCATTAGCTATAATACAAAACAAATTCATAAAAAAATACTAATAGTAGCACCAAAAGAATAAAAATTCTGAAAGCTGGGGAGTTTGTTTCAATTTCTATAAGTGCTAAATTTTTACCTAGACTGTAATATTTTTTTTTCTTTTATAAATATATAAATCAGTATTTATTCTGTTGTTTATATGAAGCAGTTTTGTGATGAATAACAAATAATTTTATAAACATCTGCTTGAATGTATATTATTCTCACTCTAGCATATATATATATATATATATATATATATATATATATATTTATCTCTGATAAATTTGACTCAGAAGTACCAGATGGTGGTTCTATTCATATTCTACTCACATTGAGTTTTAGTTGAAATATTTGCACATAAACATCTGATTTTGTGTGTCAGTCAATTGACTTTGAACACCAGTGTCGTCAATGATTAGACTTGCCGTTAATTTTGTGGAAATGGAACTTGAAGATCTCTTTGCATAAATGCAGGAATCCACATGCAATAAATAAATTTCTGCAGTAAAATTTTGACATTTAGAAGTAATGACAAAAAACACCAAAATCAATTCAACTTCCTAAATGCATTTAAATTTTTGCAACATTCACTGACTCAGATATTTCTTTTATATTTCTTTTGAGAATCTTATTTCTTGCTGTCCTGTATTAAACAATGATTAATAATTAAATAATTTATCTAGAGAAAAATGGTCAATAGCCTTAAGTCCTTAACATTTCAAAATTTGTTCTTTGATGTTGCTGCTGAGATGACAATGTTTTGGCCATTTCACAGCTTTTTTTTTTATCTGTATCATCTGTAAGAGAGGGTATTTCTAGATTACAGAGCAGGGTAGCAAACAATATATATTAAGCAGTTGGGTTCATTCTAATAACGAGACACACAGTTGACACCAGTCACTGACATACATATAATGGGCAACTCTAATTTATACATGTTTTTCAAATTTCCTCTTGAGTGTCCTCTTGAATTGCTGCAGTGAAATCTATACTGGCTTAACCTTAGGCTACAAGCCACTGGCTGATTATATGCAATTTTTAAAGTTTTTTTGCTGTGGCAGTGTTTCTTGTCAGTTATTTAAACATCATACTGAAGGGTAATAGGTTCTCTCTCTCTCTATCTATATATATATATATATATATATATATTTTCTGTTACAAAAAATTTCTTGCAACTGGTTTGGTTTCAAAATTGAACCATGCCATTATTTGTTTAGCTGGCATGTTTTGTTGGTCATTATTAGAAATCTGTTTTTAATATTTACTGAATAGGTTTTTATTTTTTTCATGTATTCAGAATGCATTCAAGATACCCTGCCCCCACCATTTGGCTGGATAATTTTTTTCATATTTTGTGTAATTTATCTAAAGTCTGTGCAAAAGGTTTTACTTGAATTTTCTAATTCATTTTTTTTTCTAAAAAGCTTTTATTGAAAAAAAAACAAAAAAAAAACAATTTATTTTTCATTCAAATAATTATTTTCATTGGTTAAATTAGATATTTAAACAGTTCGGGTCTTTTAGAACTTTGAAATTATTATCCTGTTAATATTTTAGCTTATTAAATTACTTTAAGTTTTCATTACCAAATTAAAGTTGAGATTTAATAACAAATGTTTAAATTTGTGGTTGGCCATAAAAATGGAGTACAATTGAGTTTCATTTTTATGTAATTCATTTCTATGGTTTATAATAAATATATTGAGCTTTTTTGTGGATCTGTTTTAATATTTTATAATAATAGGATTCACTTGAGTTATTTACCCACAGATTTTACTTATATATAATAATATATATATATATATATATATATATATAATTGTTACATTTTCATAAATATTATCATTGATTTTTTTTTTTTTTAAGGCATAGAAATACTTGACTTTTTTTAATCATATTGTTGAAAACAATGTTTTGAATTAAAAATGCATTTATTTACTCGTAGTAAAACCAAGATTAACACAACCAAATTTTATGGAGCATTCAATATATTAAACTTTGTCAATGACAAAAAGCAGTCTCCTGAATCATTACAGAAGTTGGTTAATATAACTTTCCAGTCATACAAATGTTAACCATATACAGAAGTGCTTTATCAACCTTTGAGTCTTTTTGTTCTTATGTTATAATGTAGATTAAAAAGTCTCATTACAAGATAATCAAATGTCAAACATTTTATTTCCTCTCATTAACTGACACTTATCCAACCTGTTAATTAAATAGCTCTTTAATTTATTTGTTTTTCTCTAATGTTAAATTATACCTTTTGTGATTCTGCTGTAAAGAATGGAATTGCTAATCTTTAAAATTATATGGTTTGCCATTCTGTTTGGACTGTTCTTGCCTAGTAAAAGAAAAGTGATAAGTTTATTGGGTTTTAAATTTTATTATAGTTTAACTAATTTTTGGGGTGAACACTGTAAAACTTGGTACCATTTTGTTACTGTAATTATTCATTGTATAAATTACTGTACCATAATCGGGATTTTCCAGATTTTAAAGCCTAAAAATTAATGGTACATATTATGTATGAGAACTAAATATAAATTTACCCCCATCACGTGTGTCACCATTTTCAAATGGTTATCTCTGGTCCAAACTACTATATAACAAAGATTTTAAATCACTTATCAAACAATACATTTATTTTGAAAAGATTATTCCTATAGATATTAACATAAACAGTTGCTAACTGGGTCATCAACCACATATCACACTGGCCATGGTTGAGGCTTTAGTGGAGTTGCACAGACTGATACTCTTCTCTAGTTTGAAGCCCCTCCATCATATTCGTATATATTGAATTCAATCAGCTTGTTTGATCCCCCCATCCATTCGATCCATTTTTAGAATCGGCAGTTAGCAAAATGGTATTAAAAATTATAATGTATATCTCAACAGATGTTACCTGACCTTTTATTGTGTTTTATACAAAATCAGTTTGCTTTTTCTTCACACTGATCCACTTCCTCAAAACAGCAATCAGAATGGGTAAGGAAGGTAGCAGAAGTTGGACAGGTTTTGTTTTGATGCTTGTGATGGAATTGAAATGATTGAACCAGAACAACAGGCCTCTTGGAACATTGTTAACAACTACTTGAAATCCCAAGCAAAGTTCATGGTATTAGGTTTTCAGGCAGACATAACTTTTTTTTTTTTTTTTTTTTTTTTAATCCTTCTGGTTATATTTTTGATTTCAGATTTTCCTTATTGGGCAGGATTGTTTGGCTAGTCTAAATCCCTTCTAGCCTGATTTTTGATCTGCAATCAGATCACCTTATTTACAGATGGCTCAAACAATTTCTATCCCTAAACATGATCTCCTTTGTCTGTTCAGACTTATCTATATTTGAGAATAAATTTGTGGTGAGGTCATTCATAAACCCTACCACAAATTTTTTATTTATCTACTTCCTTATTTATCTTTTTGTCTGTCCTGTTTATTTTAAATTCCTGATAAGTGAAGAAATGAAAAATTACACCCATTTTATTTCTTTTCTTTTTTTTCTTTTTTTCAACTTGGCCAAAAGTAACTAACCCACAATTACTACTTGCTTGTAAAAATCCTATAGTTTTATCTTAAAAAATTAAGCATCTTTTAGTCTGCTTTACTACTATCCTTTGTCAAATATGGGCATCATGACAATTTCATCTATGTTGTCAGTGTAGTAGATGTTTGTCATCTTTTCTATTGTCAAAACTCTTTTTCTTTCTTTTCA